ATATTAATAAAATATTAAATAACATTAAACATATTAAAATTATCCTAGGGAATAATTATACAACATTACTTAATTACTTACAAAAATTAACATGTAATTGTTAACATTACTTAACTACTTACAAAAATTAACATGCAAGTATTAATTACTTAAAAAAAATTAACATACGAGTCCACACAAATTTATTTGTTGTTGTATAAATTACAATAATATAAATATAAGTTTGTAAACTTACCTTAAATATGGAACCCTTTGTGTTCAAGCTTTGGAATGGATCTGGAATGGCTTTGAAAATGGTAAGGGAAATAAAATAATAAATAACATTAAACATATTAAAATTATCCTAGGGAATAATTATACGCAAGTATTAATTACTTAAAAAAAATTAACATGTAATTGTTAACATTACTTAATTACTTACAAAAACTAACATGCAAGTATTAATTACTTAAAAAACATTAACATGTAATTGTTAACATTACTTAATTACTTACAAAAACTAACATGCAAGTATTAATTACTTAAAAAAAATTAACATGTAATTGCTAACATTACTTAATTACTTACAAAAACTAACATGCAAGTATTAACATTGCTTAATTACTTAAAAAAATTAACATGCAATTGTTAACATTACTTAATTACTTACAAAAACTAACATGCAAGTATTAACATTACTTAATTACTTACAAAAACTAACATGCAAGTATTAATTACTTAAAAAAAATTAACATGTTATTGTTAACATTACTTAATTACTAACAAAAACTAACAAAAACTAACATGCAAGTATTAATTACTTAAAAAAAATTAACATGTTATTGTTAACATTACTTAATTACTAACAAAAACTAACATGCAAGTATTAATTACTTAAAAAAATTAACATGTAATTGTTAACATTACTTAATTACTTACAAAAACTAACATGCAAGTATTAACATTACTTAATTACTTAAAAAAATTAACATGTAATTGTTAACATTACTTAATTACTTACAAAAACTAACATGCAAGTATTAACATTACTTAATTACTTAAAAAAATTAACATGCAATTGTTAACATTACTTAATTACTTACAAAAACTAACATGCAAGTATTAATTACTTAAAAAATTAACATACGAGTTCACACAAATTTTTTTGTTGTTGTATAAATTATAAGAATATAAATATAAGTTTGTAAACTTACTTTAAATATGGAACCCTTTGTGTTTAAGCTCTGGATCTGGAATGACTTTGAAAGGGGTAAGGGAAATAAAATAATCGAAAAGGCTCCTCTGATACTCCACCTCTTGAAATTTTTTCACAATGACAACTTTGAAAGAATATCACAATAGCTCTGATACTCCACCTTTTAAAACAATATCGGCACACGGTTTTGAATGAAACCACCGTCCATGGTTTGAAAAGAATACAAATTATAATTGTAAAAGCTGCATGAAATTGTCCAAATAATTGTAAAACTTGTCGGGAATATTGAGTGAGTTGTATCCTCCTGACAGGAGGAACCCACACACACACACACACAAATGACCACCATCCATGGTCTGAAAAGAATACAAATTATAATTGTAAAAGCTGCATGAAATTGTCCAAATAATTGTAAAACTTGTCGGGAATATTGAGTGAGTTGTATCCTCCTGACAGGAGGAACCCACACGCACACACACAACGCACGCACGCATACACGACCTCAGTCTCTCTCTCTCTCGATCCTTCTCGATCTCTCTTCTCCCTTCTCTTCTCCCACACACACACTCACACAGAGAGCTCCACAGGTTACATCCGATCCAACACACACATACACACAGAGATCTCCGATCTCTCTTCTCCCAAACACACACACGCACACAGAGATCTCTCGATCTCTCTTCTCCATTCTCCGATCTCTCTTCTCCCTTCTCCGATTTCTCTTCTCCCAAACACCCACATACAAAGAGAGATCTCCGATCTCTCTTCTCCCAAACACACACACACACACAGAGATCTCTCGATCTCTCTTCTCCCTTCGCCGTTGATCGTGGCTCTGGCGAAGTCAGAGTTGTCTCAGTCGTCTGTGGCGGTGCGCCGCTGAGCAAGGATCGCGTTCAGTCATCTGGTTCGTCTTCGTCTTCGTCAGGTGAGATTCCATTCAAACCCTAAACCCTAAACCGACTTCACCTATGTTGAATAGTTGATGCATGCGTGAAATATGAAGTTTATATGTGAAATTGATGTTAAAATTCGTGTTTTTGCAAGGTTTTTGGGACGAAACCCGGCCCGGGAATAGGCACACCGTCTCCGGCGTTCTTCTCCGACGTCGCCTCGGAGTCCGATTGCACCAAACCATGGAAATTTCGCCGATATTTCCAAAATATCGCGATATTATCGATAATATCGCGATATTTGGCCGAAAACCACTCGGATACCACTTAGAATATCCATACCCCGAAAAACCGATAATATCGGCGATATTTCGCCGATATTATCGGCATTTTCTTCCATGATCATAGTTCACCTCTAGTTTGGGCTATGTCCATATTGTGTCGAGTTGTTTTTACTATATCAATGAAGGTTACAATTGACATGGAGGTTATATGGACTAGGGTTTGCTCTCTTTCTCCCTTTAAAGTGAGGTATAAGGGATCCCCTTGTCCCCCATCCATATTTTTCATAGGCTAGGTACCCCGCCCACCCCCCGTCCGTATTTTTCATTGAGTTTTTGGTTATATTTTTAATACAACGATATATTTATATACGCTAAGAAAAGTAAATTACTATCGAATTCGCCGTTAAAATGATTCTTATCTAAAACTTACTTTTCATTAAAAAGATTATAACCTAAGACTTATTGAACTTGCCAATAAGTTAGTTAACGCCCCCATCGAGTGGCCCCGCCCCCTGTCCATCTTTTCCATTGAGTTTTTGGTTATATGTTTTATAACGATATTTATGGAGCAAAAAATAATCAAGAAAATTATGGAGGTGACATGTGTACTTTTGGGTAAAAATGACAAAATTACCTTCGAGGCATACCAGGATTCTCATGCGTATGCAACGGACAATAACGACTCAATCAAGGAAGAGTCAAAGGTGATCAAAATGATACATATTTAAAACCCTCTCATCACGCCTCATCAAATCCTCACTCAAAAGGTAACTCTCAAATTTCCTAATTAATTTGGGATTAATTGCCAAGTTAACTGCAATATATTATTTCATATAATATCTTGCAATTACACTCACAATGTGACCATATGTGGTAGGCCCCTATTCTCCAAATAGGGCCGATCACTCCCCTATAAATAGTCATGTTTTCCCACTAAAATGCTAGTGGATTCTCTCCCAAAAAATTCCTAAACACTCTCTCTCAAATTCTAACTTTGGCATCGGAGATTCTTCGGCCAAAGCCTCCCATTCATCGTGGGCGCGTGAGGCTTTTGGCCTTAATATTATGTGTTATTATTTTGCAGGTGCATTTTCGTCAAAAGAGAAGAAGGCGGAAATTTGCATCCACAATATTTATATACGCTAAGAAAAGTAAATTACTATCGAACTTGTTGTTAAAAGGATTCTAATCTAAAACTTTTCATTAAAAAGATTATAACCTAAGACTTATCAAACTCGCCAATAAGTTAGCATCGAACTCGCCATTAAAAAGTTTTTGGATTCTTTTGGCATGTTTTATTTTTGGTCAGAATTCTCCGAAATAGTGTGAAAATAGAAAGATTCCGGATGAAAAACAAACATTTTTGTGATTTGTGAGGTTTAATGACAAATATACATAAAGACAGTCTTGCCATGAAATGCAAAATAAAACAGATTTTGTAAATTTGGATCTACGGATGTGAATCGAAGGGGATTATAAGCTTCCACGTCTTTGCATGCCAAACCATACGACCGCATAAAACATAATCAACATATTCTTCTTATTTTATTGCTTAGTATATATGTTGAAATATTCCACATGGATTGTATCTCTAAAATAAAAAAAGTTTAAATATCATATCTCCACTGAAACTAATACTGACGCCTATTTGTGACAACCCACACCTAATAGATTATGCATGTAGTAATTCTACAATAATGCATGTTACAAAAGCAATACCATGAAGGTTTGAGAGGGACGAGTTAGCGGCTTACTAGTAACTACACACATGTATAGTCTCTCGATCTTCATTTTATCATGTACACAAAACGATGGGGGGGGGGGAGTGAGGGTTTTATCATTAAAAAACAAACAAACTTTGTGTAATTAAAAGTAAAACTACATAATATAAGTATATCTTCAATTGAATCACAAATCCATTAACACCAAACAGGTATGACCAGATCTAATTTATCATTTTAATTCTTGATTGCAAGGATGTTCAAGTAATTCTACGGACATGTGGAATTTGTTCCCTACAAATTGAAATTTGATACACTTTTTATATATGAGAGACAATTACCCTTTTAATGAAGTGAAAAATATCAAAAAGTCAAATTAATTTGTAGAATTTATGAGAAATACTTGATAAGTCATCTCTAAAACCTTCAATCTTAAAATTTTTAATACTAAACAAATTTAACCAAAAATTAGATAAAAATGTAATAGGGTATGAATAATATGTACTAACTTTGGAGACCGTTTGGAAAAAAGAAAAGAAAAAAAAAGAAAAAAAAACTTTGCAGACCAAGTCACACAGAGACTAAGTTACTATTAAAAATGGATGGGAGAGGAAAATCGAAGCTGACAATTCAAGCCTTCTAGTGCTTGTTCCATCTCCTTTAGAGCTTGTTCGTTTTACTTGTCAGCGTTGAACTTAGACCCGCAATGTATAAAATTCACAAATATTTCTTTGACAAATAAATAGCTTTAGAAATTAAATCATAAATCTAAAATTCATAAAATAACATTACAAACTACAATTGCTTATCCACGACGCGGTTTCATATTTTGAAAATGTATTAATAAAGGAAAATTGAAATTTTAAAGATCTAGAATTTGGGCTGGAATTGATAGAAATTATGATTATAGACTTGGGTTTATATATGTCTAGACTAGAAGGATAAGTGATTTTTTATTTTTTAAAGTGGTCAGGTCTTATTGTCAAGAGAACATATAAATTGATCTAGTTTTGTTGCATATCAGCTGCAAAGAACATAATGCCTTGCCGTGCCCAATGTTCATTGAAGCATTTCATCGAGCAGTTGGAGGGCATATCTCAAGGACAATTCTAAGCTTCAAAGGGCAGCACTTGGATCTCTCACGGAGGTGTGCGAAAGTTGGGAGGGTCAGTTGACCCATCCCGCCCCTTAGTGGATCGGTCAGTGAGATTCATAAGTTCAAGCTAATTAGCAACAAGCAGGCAATTAAGATATATTCAACGACGATGATGAAGAGACAAGTAGCTTCCCTCCTCGGCCTCACCATGGCCATCCTCTTCTTCTCAGGTATTATTATACAAAACTTCTTATTAATTTCTTTTCTATTTTGTTTCGTATTAGTCTATAATATGCATGCCTGCCGGATGCAAATACTAGAGAGGGGTTGACTCCAACAGTGTATGGGATGAGAGAATTTGAGAGTGTAGAATTGATCCAGATCAGAATGTCCTGATCATTTTCGAACCATGTCACATACTGAGGATTCAGAGGTAGAGGTGCGATTTCCAGACGAATCAAGAAGAAATTTGGGCGGAGCAGTCATCGTGCCGTCAATAATTCCGGTGAGACTATCGGCGGAAGATCGAAGCAAACAGCGCACTTCAGGTGAGATAGTTCGTTGTGGTGAGCTTAATTGGAACCATAGATCCAATATTCTGGATCGTAATCAAAGAAATTGTCAAAAGAATTGAGGAATTAGGGCAAGAATTCATAGGAGCAGGTTGAATTTGAGAAGCAGAAGAAAGGAGGATCGAAAGGTCGTTAGACACGGGGGAGAGATACCATAATAGAAAAATTATGCTTTCATTTCATAAGGAATAGGGAAAATTAGAATCCCCTACAACTTTTTTATATCTTTTAGACTAAACATTTGTGCCTTTTCAAAATTTGATTAAAGTGCTTTGACCAATAGACACCTCACAATTTTCTGTTAAATTAAATTACATATCATTATTGTATTTTCTTAAAATAAAATGTTAATTATTAATTTCTAAATTTATCCTCTTATGTTTTTTATGCGTTTTTCCCCTTATTTAGTGGAGTATTAGTTATTAACTCTATTATCCCTTTTTCCAATTATAATTTTTTGATCAAAATAATTTTTTTGTTCTACAAACATTAATATTATCTATTTTTGTCAAATGGTTGGCGATCCAACAAAGCACTGTGTAATTTTTCCCCTTTTTTTTGTCAAACTATTTTTCTTTGTTTTTTATTTTTCATTTTTTTTATTTTTACTTATAGTTGTTGACAAACTATTATTAGGTACAACATATTATGTGTATACTGCCGTTAGGTACGTTTTAATTTGTAAAAAACATTGATTGGTACGTTTATTTGCAGTTTTGGTACGTTTGATTTGGTACATATTGTTGATATTGGTACATTACTTTTGATTTTGGTACGTTTGATTTCATACACTTTATTTATTGGTACGTTTATATTGTTGTTAGTCCTATTTTCTCTTAATGTATTGATATAAAAAATTATATTGGTACATTTGATTTCGTGAGATTTAAAAATATTTTCAACCCTTTTGGGAATAAAATATTAAATCGTAGAAATCATTGCTAAATTGTAGGAAGTATTGTGAAAATAAATTGTATTTAACTAGGGTTTTTTTGTTTACAATTATCTCCAAAGGGGGAGAAGGTAATCAAAATGCTTGATTATAGGAAGTTTGGTTCAATACGCTGTGCACTTTTTTGGCGTGAGATTAAGAAATATGGAGTAGTGGCAGGTCATGTAATTTTGGTATAAAAAATGATTAATTCTAATATATGTGGCAACAAAATGATGAGAAGAAGAGTTTAATCAAATCTCTAAAAGGCATAGATGTTTAGTCTATAAAATTCAAAAATAAGGCACCTATATCAAAACATCTCCAAGGAATAAGATTACATGTTGGTGTATATATACCAGTGACTAACTCACTTGTATTAACAACTAATTACATCTTGTCTAACTAATCACAAACTAATTACAAAACTGTTACAACTGCCTTATAACAAACTCAGCGGTCTTCAGTAGACTTGTTTACAATTTACCCTTATTACGCTTTACATTGTAACAACGTCAAAAGTGACGGTAGGGAGTCTAAAAGAGAATAACGATCGATGATGAAAAATACGGATATATAGAAGTAAGCCGGCCAATGCGGTGATGAGAGCATGAGATTGGATGAATCATCATCAAAGTATATTTATAATAAAACTACTGATTAGTTATGAAAAAAGTTCTTAATATGATTTCAAATTGTTTATTTATTTATGGGTAATGCTAGGGAGATAAAATTTGTAAACAAAATTTTGGAAACTAAAGGACATGGAAGTTAATAATTGGTTTATTACTTTAATTTTAATAAATGTGTTCATTCGTATTAGTGACATATTATTTAGTTTACAATTTTTGTCAACAATTGTATTTAGATTTCAATATTCTTAGCATCTAGTTTTATGTTGAATATAAATGCAGGTGCACATGCAGCAAAAATCACTTTCACAAACCACTGCTCCTACACTGTCTGGCCAGGAACCCTAACCACTAACCAAAAACCTCAATTATCACTCACCGGGTTCGAACTAGCATCCAAAGCTAGCCGGTCAATAGACACTCCATCCTCATGGTCTGGTCGCTTCTGGGCCCGAACCAGATGCTCCACAGACGCCGTTGGAAATTTCACTTGTGAAACTGCAGACTGTGGCTCTGGCCAGGTCGCATGCAACGGTGCAGGCGGAGCTCCACCAGCAACTTTAGTAGAAATCACAATCGCAGGAATCGAGGGTCTAGATTTTTACGATGTTAGCCTTGTTGACGGCTTCAACTTGCCCATGTCCGTCGCCCCACAAGGCGGCACCGGCAAGTGCCAGGCCTCGACTTGCGATGCGAATGTTAACGCGGCATGCCCGGCTGAGTTACAAGTGAAATCGGCTGATGGGAGTGTCATCAGTTGCAAAAGCGCTTGCTTGGAGTTCACCGATCCGAAGTTGTGTCAACCCACAGAGTACTCTAAGATGTTTAAGCAGCAATGCCCTCAAGCTTATAGCTACGCTTTGGATGATGCAAACAGCACATTCACCTGCAATGGCGGACCTGACTACGCCATTACATTCTGCTCATATGGTATGTCTACTCTCAGCCACAATATAAAGAATGCGACAATTATGGAGCATGTGGACCTTGTGGAGTTTGCAAAGCTTCTGGATCACCAATCTGCAAGTGCTTGAAAGGGTTTTGTTGAATTTTTCAGGTCGATGGGCCGAGGGCCCCATTCCACCAGCACCGTCCCCACTTCACCAACTGCCCAATCCGTCAGGTATGGAGTTTTATCCAAAAAGTCTCGGTATTAGTTAGAGTGGGCTAATTCTATTTAAATTGTTGCTTTTCTTTCCCTTTAGCCAATGTGGGATTCAACATGCCCCCACACATGAGACCCCATTTTGTGGATCACACGTGGAGGATCCACACATCGACAACCACGTGAAGCCAAGTTGGGACTCACCCATCGCACGGGGCCAATGGGAACCCACCCAATCATGTGGTGGTACCAAGCCCGTCCCCTGGCTCTGATACCATGTTGAATTTTTCAAGTCGACGGGCCGAGGGACCCCACTCCACCAACACCGATACTGTCCTCACTTTACCACCTACCCAATCCGTCAGGTGTGAAGTTTTATCACAGAAAACCTCGGTATTAGGTGGAGTGGGATAATTCTATTTAAATTGCTTTTCTTCTTTCCCTCTAGCCGATGTGGGATTCAACAGGTTTGTACCCAAGTCAGACGGGAATGGAGCAGAGGAAACGGGACGGGAAGGTGTGTGAGGGAAACCAAATTGTTTTGTGAGAGAGACAAATAAGTCAGTCACATTGAGAGGAAAAGAAGATGATGATGATGGGTTTCTGAAGCTGGTAGGGTTCAGAGTACCAGATTCTCATGAGTTTGTGTCTTTGGATTCTGACAACACATCCGCGACTGCAAGACAGTGCGCCTAAATAATTGTTCTTACCAAGAGTATGCACTTGTTTATAAAACACGGTGTTTGGTCTGGTCCAAACACCTTATTCATATGCAGGAGTTTCCCTCTGACGGAGTAGATGTTTATATTTGCCTAGCACGCGCAGAACTAGCAAATGAACTAATGATACTAGTGCTTGATGCCTTTTTTTTTGTTCAAAAGTGCTTGAAGCCTTGAACAACTCTAATTATCAAGCAGTAACTTTTCTGTTTCGATATATCTCATGCTTGTTTTTGTATTGTAAATTTTTCAGGTAAAGGAAAGCCAATAAAGTTAATTGTGAGCCTTACAGTTGTTTGTTTTATCGGTGTATTGGGTGCCATAGTGTTTGGTTTGTGCAGGATGAGAGCTAAGCAAAAAGGTAATTAAGTGAAAGAGATCGAGGTGTTGGATTAATATAATGCATTAGCATATTATCTCTCAAAACTCTGTAAGTTGTTTTGCTTTGATTCAGTGTTTGATGTGTATATTTGCAAAATCAGGACACATCAAATTAACAAGGGAACACATCAAAATAACAAGGGACGCCCTTCAAGAATATATAGGTGGAAAACATGATCTGTCTGAGTTACTGATCTATGATTTTGATAGCATATTAGTTGCTACGGACAATTTCAGCATAGAAAACAAACTCGGGCAAGGAGGCTTTGGTCCAGTTTATTGGGTAATTATTATTATTTTTATGATAGGTACAGAGAAACAGACATGAGTGCAATGATTTATTTGTCGACTTTGTGTAGGGTAAGCTAGCAGAAGGGAAGGAAATAGCAGTAAAAAGACTATCCAGTACCTCAGGGCAAGGTGTAGTGGAGTTCAAGAATGAAATGTTATTGATCTCCAATCTCCAACACAAAAATCTGGTCAGAATCATGGGTTGCTGCGTTAAAGAGGATGAGAAGTTACTGATTTATGAGTTCATGCCAAACAAAAGCTTGGATACTTTTCTTTTCGGTTAGTTTCAATTGCACTTTACTGCAATTTCTTATCTTTAGATTCTAAGCAGTGTATTGATCGATTATGTGATGCTCAGATTCGACGAGAAGAGCAGTGCTTGATTGGGGTACACGTTTTAATATTATTCAAGTTGTTGCCAGAGGGCTTGTTTATCTCCATCATGATTCCTATTTGAAGGTAATACATAGAGATCTAAAAGTAAGCAACATTCTTTTGGATGAGAAAATGAACCCAAAAATTTCAGATTTTGGATTGGCACGTGTGGTTGAAGGGACACAGAATTTAGAAAATACTCAGAGAGTTGTGGGAACGCTGTAAGATTCATGCCCTTCCTATATATTCTTGAACATGTCATACGCAACGAAAGTTCTAATGGTTAGCATTGCATCATGATTCATGAACTCTTAACCGACTCCTGTTTTGGATAAAAACTGCTAATTAGTTGCATCGTTCACATTAGATATAGTTTTGGTAATGTTGTTCTTAAAAGGCAGAAACCAAGCACTTATTTCAGCGACATATATACTAATGAGTTTCATGTTCGTACAGTGGATATATATCTCCAGAGTATGCCATGGGTGGAATATTTTTTCAAAAATCTGATGTCTACAGCTTTGGGGTCTTGGTATTGGAGATTATTAGCAGCAAGAAGAATACGGCCTTCTATATCTATGATCGACAGCTAGGCTTACTAGCCTATGCATGGCAGTTATGGAAGGAAGGCAGGGAATTGGAGTTGGTAGATGAAATGTTGGCGGCTGATTCATATTCGGCTCCAGAAGTAATGAAATGTGTGCATATAGGGCTGCTTTGTGTACAGGACAATCCGACGGATAGGCCGAGCATGCCGGATGTAATTTTTATGCTAAATGGTTCCACAAATGTTATTGGTGGTCCACAACCTAAACAGCCTCTATTCACTATCCAAAACTCAGTCTCTCATCCTCAACCACAGCCTTCGAATAATGAAGCTACAATGACAATGATTAATGAAGGACGCTAAATGTATGCTCCTGACAGTGGTGGAGGTTGGGATTTTCTGATCTATGTGAATTTGGGTTGTGTTTGCTAGGATTTGTAGTCACTTCGTATTATTTGTAGTTTGCTTTCTTTGGATGGTGCTTAGCTAAGCTTGGCCAATCCTGCTTGCTTATGCGGCAAGATGCTGAAACTGTAGTTATATTTTTTATTTGGAGGGAATTAGAGAGGATTAGTTATGAAGGAAATTCGTCTTTGTAATCCTACATTATGGAGAGATTGATACTCATAAGTTTTCTTTATGAGTAATTGATCTTTTACATGTTAGGTGGATATAAATTTTTACCTAAATTTAGCGGCGATCCATTTGGATCTAATTTTAGATATCAAAAGAGGCTTTAATATAGCGACTGTTGAACTATAAACTATGGTGGTTAGTGCAACAGCATGGTTGCCTAAACTATGGTTGTTAGGCCCTTAGGCCCTTTTTCAACTACAACCTAAATGATAAATTCCGGTGAGTTAATTTGGTTGGTATGATGTATTTCTGAAGGTAGACAAGGAACAAGAAAACAGAGAAAGTTTAGAGGAATGTGAAAGGTTTTTCAGTCCATGCAGCAAGCACATATATTTTCATTAAATATCAACACATTGGATTTTTTCTCTTACAAGCTAATCTAGAGCAATATAAGCCCTTGATTCACAAACAAAGATCTAAAGCATACACTTGTCTTATGAGACTAGACATACACTTTCCTATTGGTTTCTTCTTTCTCAACTACTTGATCAAAACTAAATTCTATTTAATTCCAACACTCCCCTTTAAATGAATTCTGGTTTTGATCCCAAGCATTCCTCTGAGATAGACAAATCTTTCCCTTGGTAGAGCTTTGGTAAAGATGTCTGCCATTTGATCCTGTGATTTGCAGTAGATCAGTTCAATGGTATTCTCCTGCAAGGCTTCCCTTATGAAGTGAAACTTCCTTTTGATATGCTTGGTTTTCTGGTGAAAAATAGGATTTTTGGTCATAGCTATTGCTGATGTGTTGTCACACATAAGTGGTGTAGCATCCACTTGCATTTCACCAAAATCCTTTAACACAAACCTCAACCATATAGCTTGAGAGGTAGCCATTGCAGCACTCACATACTCTGCCTCAGCCGTAGACAATGCAACACTTTGTTGCTTGACAGAGGCCCAGGAAAATATCCCAGAACCAAATGTAAATGCATATCCTGAGGTACTTCTCATGTCATCTTCACTGCTACCCCAATCGCTGTCACAGAAGCCTACCAGAATTGCTTTTTCTCCCTTTTCATACTTGATTCCATAGTCCAAGGTCCCTGAGATATACCTTAGTACTCTCTTAGCAGTTTCCATGTGAATTCTTGTGGGATTATGCATGAACCTTGATAAGAGACTAGCTGCATACATAATGTTAGGTCTTGTAGCAGTCAAGTAAAGTAGACTTCCAACCATTCTTCTGTATAAGCATTCATCAGCAGATTCAGAACCATCCACTTTACAAAGTTTCTCATTTGTGATCAATGGTGTTGCCACAGATTTACATCCTTTCAGATTGAATCTTTCAAGCAATGATTGTGCATACTTCTGTTGATGTATGAAGATCTCAGTAACTTCTTGTATTACTCCAATTCCCAAGAAGTGATGCAACAAGCCAAGATCCGACATCTCATATTGTCTCATCATGTCCCTTCTGAATTCTTCAATCATTTCTTCACAATTACCAGTAAAGACCACATCATCAACATATATAGACACAATAAGCATCTCAGAGTTCTCACCAGTTTTTGTATATAATGTAGCTTCACTAGGACTTTTGTTAAATCCACCCTTGCTGAAATAGGAGTCTATCTCACTGTACCAAGCCCTGAGGGCTTGTTTGAGTCCATACAGTGCTTTGTTTAACTTATAAACCTTCTCTTCTTTATTTGGTACTTCAAATCCTTGTGGTTGATCCACATACACTTCTTCCTCCAGAATGCCATTTAGAAAGGCTGATTTAACATCTAACTGGTGAAGTTTCCATCCCTTTTGGGCAGCAAGAGCAATCAAGGTTCTAATGGTATTTAACCTTGCCACTGGGGCAAAGGTTTCATTGAAATCTACCCCAGGTTGTTGTGAGTAGCCTTTGGCAACTAATCTTGCTTTGTTCTTCTGTATTGATCCATCCAAATTCAGTTTGGTCTTGTAGATCCATTTCACACCTATCACAGGTTTATCACTCGGTCTATTTACCAATTTCCAAGTAGAGTTTTTCTCAATCATGGAAATTTCTTCACTCATTGCTTTCTGCTAAGATTGATCCTTCTCAGCTTCTTCAAAACTCTCTGGTTCAACAACACAATAGTTACACACTGCATAAATCTCATTTAAACTCCTCATTCTCAATGGAGTTGTTTCAAAGGAGGAATCCTGTAATTCTTGTCCTTCTGCATTTGAAGTAGAGAACTGAGATCCTTGTGTTGGAGTTGAAAAGTCATTTTGACTTCCATCATGTATAACAGGTTCATTCTCATTTTGCACTTCAGCTTGTGCTTCTTCCATTGCTAGTGGAAATGAGATAGTGTCAATGTTATTGGTTTCCCAATTCCATGCTTCATTCTCCTTGAACACCACATCCCTTGAGATAATCACTTTATGTGACTCAATATTGTAAAGCCTATAGCCCTTTTCACAACTTCTATAACCTACAAGAACACACTTGACACTATTGATTTCAAGCTTGTGTCTTAATTGAGATGGTATCTGTGCATAGCAGATTGATCACCTTCAAGTGCTTCACACTTGGTTTTCTGCCACTAAATGCCTCAAAAGGTGTTTTCTTCTCAAGTGCTTTAGTTGGACACCTGTTTAGGAGATACACAGATGTATTGACAGCCTTACCCCAAAAAGAAAGTGGCATTTTCTTATCATGTAGCATTGACTTGGTCATTTCAACCACAGTCATGTTATTCCTCTCAACTACACCATTCTGCTGTGGTGTGTAGGCCACTGTCAATTGCTTCTGTAATCCTGCTCCTTCACAGAATTCTTGGAACTCAAGTGACATGAATTCACCACCTCTGTCGCTTCTTAGTCTTTTGATCTTGAGACCACTCTGAAGTTCAACCATCACTTTGAATTTCTTGAAGATTGAAAAGACTTCACTCTTGTTTCTCATAAGATATACCCAAACCATCCTGGTGCAGTCATCAATGAATAACAGAAAGTATCTGTTCCCACTGAGTGTAGGTGTCTTCATTGGACCACACACATCTGTGTGAATGAGTTCTAGAGGTTGGCTTGCTCTCCATGCATTTCTAGTTTCAAAAGAGTCCCTGTGATGCTTCCTCAATATGCAACCTTCACACGGTTCTTTAGTCTCTTGTAACTCAGGAAGACCAGTCACCATTTGTAGTTTCTCCAATCTCTTTAAACTGTGAAAGTTGAGATGTCCAAACCTCTTGTGCCATAACCAAGAGTTTTCTGCAACACTTGCTTTTAGAGCAATTGAGTCATTGTAATCTAGCATAAGTGGAAAACTTTTGTTTTCTGTCATGCCAACTTGTGTTACCAAGTTTTGGAGGCTTCTGTCATCAAAGATCTCCATTATATTGTCTCCAAAAAGTAAGAAGTAACCATGAGCAATCATCTGTCCCACACTAAGGAGATTCTCATCAAGACCTGGTACAAGTATTACATCCTTGATGAATCTTCTTCCACCCTTTGTCTCTAGAACAAGAGTTCCTTTTCCAGTAGCTTCCACTAGTTGTCCATTCCCCATTTTAACTCTGCAATTGAAGCTTCTGTCAATGTTGATTAACAAGGATTCATATGCAGTCATATGATTACTGCATCCACTGTCAATGTACCAGATTCCTCTCTTATTTTCAGTTCTTGCAACACTACAAGCATAAAAGACATTTACTTCATCTTCTTCTGCTCTATGTGCATAGTTGACAGCTTGGTTCCTTCTTGGATTACAATCTTTTGCTAGATGGCCAAATCTGTCAGACTTGGTGCATTTGGGTTTTCCCTTGAACCAGCAAACACCATAGTGTAATTTGTCATAGATTTTACACTTGGTTTTGGTAGAATCATTGCTAGTTTCTGATTTTGATTGTGGAGTATGGTTGTTGTCCCATTTCTTCCCTTTTCCTTTCCAGAATTTCTTTTGATTTGAGTTGTTCCCCTGAGCCTTGTAACTGCTATCTCTCTCAATCACACTTAGACTAGTAAAAGCCTTTTCAGCTAAGTTTTCAGAGTGCATATTTAACCTCTGCTCATAGCCTTTCAATGTACCAATCACCTCCTGAACCTCAATGGAGTCAAGGTCCTTAGTTTCTTCTATAATAGATGTGATGGAATCATAGGATTTAGGCAAGCTAATAAGTATCTTCTGTACTAATCTTTGGTTTGTCAGTTCTTCACCAAGAGTTTTCATTTGATTCACAATGTCAGTCAATCTTGTTAAATAAGCATATAGAGCTTCACCATCATTCATCCTAGTGTACTCAAAATCTCTTCTTAAACATTGTAGTTTGACAGACCTAACCTTTTTATCACCACGAAATTCTTGTTGAAGAACATCCCATGCAATCTTGGAGGTTTCAAAGTTTGAGATTCGAGGAAACATCTCATCAGACACTGCCCCTTGAATGATACCAAGAGCCTTTGCATCTCTGGTTTCATTAACTTTCATTGCTATCTTCCTCACAGACTGTTGATCTTCATCGCTAGAATCATCTTTAGTTTCTGCGGTTTCAAAACCCTTGTCCACCAAACTCCAGAGATCATGTGATTTGAATATGGTCTTCATCTTGATGGACCAAAAATCGTAGTTGATCCCATTAAAAAAGGAGCCCTCAGATCTCCTCCACTGCTCGAAGTAGCCATGTGAGACTTTGTAAGAACATATGAGATTTTCACGATCTGGGTATGTTTTTCCCCTTTCCTTTTCAGAGATACGAAGCACACACAAAAACGCCCAGTCCTGAAATTGATCAGAACCTAAGCTCTGAGGCCATGATAAATTCCGGTGAGTTAATTTGGTTGGTATGATGTATTTCTGAAGGTAGACAAGGAACAAGAAAACAGAGAAAGTTTAGAGGAATGTGAAAGGTTTTTCAGTCCATGCAGCAAGCACAGATATTTTCATTAAATATCAACACATTGGATTTTTTCTCTTACAAGCTAATCTAGAGCAATATAAGCCCTTGATTCACAAACAAAGATCTAAAGCATACACTTGTCTTATGAGACTAGACATACACTTTCCTATTGGTTTCTTCCTTCTCAACCACTTGATCAAAACTAAATTCTATTTAATTCCAACACTAAATAGCTTCGTA